GAAGGGGAGGGAGGGGGGGGGGGAAAAAAAGGGAAAAAAAGGGGAAAAAAAAAGGGGGGGGGGGGGGGGGGGGGAAAGGGGGGAAAGGGGGGGGGGGGGGGGGGGGGGGGGGGGGGGGGGGGGGCTCCCTAGCGTCGCGCGTTCTTGTTTCTGGCCCCCAGCTGTCGCATGCATACGTTTATTCACGTTTGACGGCACGCCTCGTTGCTGGAGGCGGGGTTTACCGCTGCAGACTTGGTGTGGAGACAGCGGTTGAAAACACGGACTGACACGGACATGCGTCGTCGTCGTCACGGCATGCTCTCTTTTGGGGTGCGGGTTCATCTCCGGCCCTGGAGCGCTCTTGACGCGGTTTGTTTTTTTTTGTTGTTTCCCTGCCTGTGTGTACCTGTCTGCACTATGCCTAGCCGTTGTAAGGGAGTCCCGGTTGGAGGGAGGTGTGGGGGGGGTGCACTCGTCAGGTGCTTTCCTCCGTTAGTGGTATATCCATCCCTTTGGATACGAGGGGGAGCGGGGGAGGGAGGGGGGCGTACTCATTTGTTGCTTGCCGTAGTCATTTGACCATTGACCACGCGTCCCTTTCGAGACGGAGCACCGTTCCTACCCCTACTAGAGACACCACCAACATTTGGGAGCTCTTTACGTTTCTGCCACAAACTCCATAAAAATTTCTTGCACATCTTATCCCCGTCCTCTAGGGCCTGTTGTGCCCACCATCTATCCCCAATTATCGCGATCGTTTTTTCGCTGTTGTCTAATTTACCAAACTTGTCCATGTCACACCCTCTCTGTCTCATTTCCTCCTCGAGATCCTCTCTTTCCTTCCTGTACAACTCACACTCCCCAACTATGTGGGGTCTACTCTCCTCCGATTTGCCACATGGACATGCGTGTCTATCCTCCTCTTCCTCACTCCTTCGGCTGGTATACCTCTTCCTCCGTTCTGGCAAGTCCAGATCGCCTACTCGAAATTGCAATTTCAGCTTTTTCGCGTAGTCCATGGGGCCGTCCAAGTACGTCTTCATCCCTATCCCTTCTTTCAACTTCCCGTATATCTCCAAGTGGTTTTCGCTTCGTACCTTCTTCCGGAGGGAGGGGAGGGGGGGGGGTTCTCATAGTCGTGCATGCCGTATTCGTTACTATTGACCTCGCATCCCTAAAAAGCCGGGACGGAGCACGCCGGTTTCTCCCCGGACCGGGGGGGGGGGGGGGGGGTGTGCTCATAGTCGTGCATGCGGTAGTCGTTAGACTATTGACCTCGCATCCCTACAAAGCCGGGACGGAGCACGCCGGGGTCTCACCGGACCGGGCGGGGGGGGGGGACGTTGCACCGATGAATCCGTCCCGGTTCAGTCTACGACGTGTCGTGCTTGGGTGTATTTGGAAAAGAACTTGCACTTGTTTCTTGTCCCCGGCAACCGTGTAGCCTACGTGTGCGTCCCGGTGGTCTCGCATGGGGAAACAGCAGTGCCAGGGTAGGCCAGGTGGTCTTTCCCTCAACATGAAGGCAAACGGGCGGACATGAACCAGCATAAGTCAATTGTGTGTGTTGTTTGTGTTCGTGTTCCTAACCGTTCGATCGTGATCTGACCACCTCCTGTTTCGCTCGTCATTGCTGAGTTTGTTGCTGCTGCTGTTCCCTCCGCCGCCGCCGCCGCCGCCGCCACCACCTCTGCGTCCTGCGGTTTGATGTGGCGACTTCATGACCATGGCCATGAAAATAATGAACGAAACGTCTCCTGTGCTGCGCGCCTAACAACCCTGCGGCAGGATCGATCCCCAAGTCGATCAGCCAGCTGTCGCAGCTCTGCATCCTCAGCCTTCGAGGGAACAACTTGAAAGGTGCGCACATGGATGTGAAGGTTTTTTCCAATGTTGTTCTGGAAAGTCTCTCTTGTCGATTGCATGCGTGCGGGCACTCGTGCACTCAAATTGGGTGAAGTTTGCGTGATTTTTTCGTCTTTTCTCGTGGGTCTCGTTTTGTTTTGTCCATACACTCACGTGTTCATCGTTATTTACACCAAATTCACGTGCGCGTTTTTGTGTAGCTGCCCAAGCTACATGGTTGCCTGGTAGGTTTTGTTTTATCGGCTTCAGATTGTGTGCATGGTTTTGCGCCATCTCGTTGCAGCGGCTTTGTTTAGTCCGCACGACACCAAACCACAACGCTTTCTTATCTCAAGAGACGATGGCACGATACGCAACACATGGCCACCAACTGCTGTATTGTATCTCTGTGGTGTAGTTGCTTCTGCTACATATCCCCCAGAAAACAATGGCCACAGGCCTCCCACCTTTTCTATTCCCACCAAGCTCTCCTACGATCACTCTGCACACCGACCGTCACCGCAACGTACCACTCGACCGAGGTGTACTTCAAGTGCGGAAAACTTGCCCTCCCCCAAGCATACCACCACGTTGTCGTCGTGTTGGTTGGCGTTGGTCGTATCATCGTATCGCAGGAGACATCATCCCAGAGCTGGGCTGTCTGACAGCGCTGCAGACCCTAAGCCTGCGGGACAACCACTTCAGCGGCGTGATTCCGCCCGAGTTGGGACAGCTCACGGCCCTGAGGCATCTCTTCATGAACAACAACATTCTCAGAGGTGTGGAAATACAATAAATAGTGCAAAGTGTGTTTCGGGGGGGGGGGGGGATCTCTCTTTGATGCTTCCTGCCTTTTGGGCCTTGACAGACGGCAAACGGAACACCTGAGTCGAGTCGACTTTTTGCGATTGTTGTGTTTGTCTGTCTTTGGCCATGGCGTGATAGAGGCTGGGGTGAGTGGTATTCCGTTGGCTAAAGTGTAGACGTGGGTTGGGGTTTTGGGGTAGCAGCAACACCGAACGTCCCCCACCCACTGCGTGACGCTACATACCCTCCCGATGTTGTGCATTTCATGAAGATGTGCATCCCGGGAGCAACGCGAACACATTTGTGGAGGAGTGTTTTTTTTTCATGCGCACTGCTTCGAAACGGCGAGAGACCACCGGCACGGGGCGCTGGTTTATCAGACGGAGTGTTGCGAAGAATGACACTAACAACAATGACGTGTCACGCCTGACTGACTCACCAGGGCCAATTCCCGAGGAGCTGTCGCAGCTGGAGCAGCTGGAGCAACTCTTTCTTTCGGACAACGAGCTGGACGGTGAGAGAGCTAGAAACAGCAACAGTAATACGACACTGCCTGCTGGCGTTTACATGACCAAGGCCAATGCGATGGGGTATAGTGGTGACCGGG